TTCCTGTTGTTAATTTCTACCTTGATGGCACTGTGATCAGAGAAGATACTTTGTATTATCTCAGTGTTTTGGATTTTGTTGAGGGTTGCTCTGTGGCCTAAGATGTGGTGTATTCCAGAGAAAGTTCCATGTGCATTACAAAACAATGTGTACTTTACAGCTGTTGGGTGGAATGTTATGTATATGTCTATGAGCTCAAGTTGGCTTGTGGCCTTTAGGTCTTCCATATCTTTGTTGAGTTTCTCTATAGATGTTCTGTCCTTTACCAAGAGTGGTGTGCTGAAGTCTCCTGCTATTATTGTGGAACTGTCAATTTCTCTTTTCAGTGCTGTTAGAGTTTGTTTTATATATTTTGGAACTCTGTCATTGGGTGCATAGATGTTTATTATGGTTATGTCTTCATGATGGCTTGTCCCTTTAATCACTATATAGTGTCCTTGTTTGTTTTAAAGTCTATTTTATCTGAGATTAGTATTGCAGCTCCTGCTCTCTTTTGGTAGTTGTTTGTTTGATATATTTTTTTCCAGTCTGTGATTTTTAATAAATTTACATCTTTGTTTCTAAGGTATGTCTCTTGAAGACAGCATGTTGTGGATTCTTATTATTTAATTTTGAAACCTTATTTTTAATGTTTATCTTAGAATGAATATGAGAAGGTAATGGATTGAAGTATTATGCTAATCTTTCACAATTAGTCACACACTTACTGTCAGGTTGGTTCTAATTGTTAGAACCAAAATTAAGTTTTATCTCTAATGTTGGCTTATCCTGATTGTGGAGAAAGTATCTAAAAGGTTATAAACCTTAATTATGCAGGTTTCAAGTTGCCGTCCTGTAGCCAAAAACCAAACCCATTGCTGTCGAGTTGATTCTGACTCATAATGACCCTATAGGACAGAGTACTACTGCCCCATAGTGTTTGCAAGGCTGTACATCTTTATGGAAGCAGACTGCCACATCTTTCTCCGGTGGAGTGGCTGGTGGGTTCAAACTGCAAACCTTTTGTTTAGCAGCTGAGTGCTTAACCACTGCGCCACCAGGACTCCTTTGCAGTTCTATAAACGTGAAAAATTTGGAATAACTTCAATATAAAATAATAGGGAAATGACTTAGTAAAGTGATAATTTTGAAGACTGGAAAGTGGAGAAATGCTTTTGTTAAAATAGTAAAAGGAAATAAAGCAAAATTGAAACCTTTGTACATTAACCCTGCAACTGTGTAATAAAATATTTCTGTACACTTAAGTGATAGTAGTTACTGTGTTAAAACATTGGGGTTATGGATTTTCTTTTTGAAAATATTATTGCGTTGCATTTACAAGTTAAGAAAATTTCCAGATTTTAAAGGAAGAACGAAGAACACTGTTGAGTATTCACCTAACAAACCTAAACAAGAGGCATACATAGAATGTAACCTTGTTGAAGACAGGGACTTTGTCTTATTTACTGCTGTGCTCCTAAACCCTGGAATAGTACCAGACTCAGTAAATATTCATTGAATGAATCAATTATTAAAAGTATATAACCATGCTGGTCTTACTTTTATGGTAGAAAACATTCTTGATGTTTTTTAAGACTTGGTTAATTTAGAGGTTTGATTTGATTTTTTTACTGGTACGGTTTATGATACATTTGTTTTCTTCATTCCTATCTCAGGTGGCTATGTATTTTCTTCAGAATACTTAAGGATACAGAAGTGTTACAAACTCAGTCAGAGGCTTTTATTTAACAACCATCTATCCTTTTAGAACCAGATGGTCAAAGAACTGGAGGCCCGTGTGCAGCAGCTGACTGGAGAAGCCGAGAACAGTAATTTACAGAGGCAGAAGTTAATTCAGGAAAAAATGGAACTGGAGAGATGTTACCAGATAACATGCAATGAATTACAAGAAGTAAAGGCAAGGTATTGTCTCAAGTCATATCAAGTGTGGCTATATAGTACTGATAGTGACTGTATGAATTACCTCCTAAAATTAATCACACCTTGGGCATTTGACCTTGGGAGGTTTCCAACCTAAATACTGTTTGTTTTTTTTTTAACTAATATAAGAAGCATGATGTTTAGAAGTTAATAAAAATGTGGATTGTTACTTGATATACTGAAAGAGAATGTATTTGAATTTGGTTGACTAAAAATAGTCTGTTTTAAGGATCCATCAATATGCTCTCTACAAGAGACACACCTTGGAAACAAAGATGTGAATTTATTAAAAGTCAAAGGTTGGAAAAAAATATATCAAGCTAACAACAACCAAAAAAGAGCAGGAGTGGCAATACTAATCTCAGATAAAATA